AGAGTTTTTAAAAATATATTGGAGAACCCTTGGTCTGAAGTGGTGTAGGATTTCCTGCCTAAGTAGGGGTTTGGACTAGAAGACCTCCAAGGTCCCTTCCAACTCTGTTTATTCTAATACCTTCTCATACATTTCATGACCAAACTAGGTAACATTACAGATTACAGATTAATAGAGTCAGAAGGGACCTTGTAGGTCATCTAGTCCAACCCCTGCCTAAGCAGGAGACCCTATAACATTTCTAATAGATGGGAGTCCAGTCTCTTTTTGAAAGCCTCCAGTGTTGAAGCTCGCACAACTTCCGAAGGCAACTTCTGTTCCATGGGTTGTTTATTCTCGTTGTTTAGTCTAGTGAAGAGAAGGACCAGGGGAGACAGGAGAGCATCTTCCAATATTTGAGGGGCTGCCACAGAGAGGAGGAAGGGGGTCAAGCTATTCTCCAAAGCACCCGAAGGCCAGACAAGAAATAATGGATGGAAACTGAACAAGGAGAGATTCAACCTGGAAATAAGGAGAAACTTTCTGACAGTGAGAACAATCAACCAGTAGAACAGAAGTTGCCCTCGGAAGTTGTGGAAGCTTCATCCCTGGAGGCTTTCAAGAAGAGATTGGACTTCCATGTCAGAAATGGTCAGAGGTGGTACATTCAGCAGGTTCTGACCAGTTCTGGAGAACCACAAGCGGAAATTTTGAGTAGTTCAGAGAACCGGCAAATCCCACCTCTGACTGGCCCCGCCAACCCCACCTCTTCTCTGCCTCCCATTGAGTCCCAGCTGATCGGCTGGTTGTCTCCTTTGGTTGCCCTGCACAGGAGAACGGAGCTGGAAAGCAGGTTAGTGGGGTGGGGAGGGAAGGGGGATTTTGCAATATCCTTCCCCTGCCACGCCCGCCAAGCCACACCCACAGAACCGGTAGTAATTTTTTTTTTGAATCCCACCACTGGAAACGGTGTAGGGTCTCCTGCTTGGGCAAACGGGGTTGGACTCCATGACCTACAAGGTCCCTTCCAAGTCTGATGATCTGTTATTCTCCCTGTCAGAAAATTCTTCCTTATTTCCAGATTGAATCTCTCTCCTTGTTCAGCTTCCATCCATTATTCCTTGTCTGGCCTTCGGGTGCTTTGGAGAATAGCTTGACTCCTTTCTGTGGCAGCCTCTCATATATTGGAAGACTGCGTTGGTATAGATCTTTTTAACATTTGTATTTGATTGTGTTTTATTAGTCTAGAGGAAAGGGATTAATCTGTGTTGGCAGTCCATGTATGATATGCCATATGCTAAATAAATAAATCCTGACAGTGAGAGGATGGAAATCAATCAGGGGAACTATTTGGCTCCAGAAATTATCACTGGAGGGTTTGTTTTTTGGTTTTTTTTTAATGTCTGGGCAACCATTTGACCAGGATGGTACAGTTAGTCCTCGACTTACGCCCACCAATGGAGCCCAGAGAATTGATGTTGCTAAGTGAGACGTTTGTTAGGTGAGTTTAGCCCCGTTTTGCAACTTTCCTTGCTGCTTTTGTGAAGTGAATCGCTGCCGTTTTTAAACGAGTCCCGTGGTTGTTAAGTGTGAATCCGGCTTCTCCGGGGACTTTGCTCGTCAGGATGGTCACAAAAGGGGATCTCGCCTGTCCCCGGGGACAATACTGCAACCGTCGTAAATGTGAGTCATTTGTGAGGTGCCAGTCGTCCTGAATGCAAATCACAGGACCGTGGGGAGGCTACGAGGGTCATTGGTGTGGAAAACGGTCATACAAGTCCCCCCTTTTTCGGGGCTGTCGTAACTTAAAAACAGTCACTAAATGAACTGTTGTAAGTTGACAGCTCCCTGTATAAGGCTGAGCAGCAGGTTGGACTTGAAGAGTGGTCGCCAACCAGTGGGCCGGGGACCACTGGTGGTCTGTGATAAAATTTTGGTGGTCTGCAGAGAAAACAATTAATCCAGGCTGCATGGGAACACAAGGCTGTGCTGCCCCACATGGCCCGCGGGAACACAAGGCTTGTGTCGCTTGCATTGCAAACAACACGAGGTAGTGAGGTGAGGGGGGAAAGGGCGGAGCGAGGGGAACTTGCCCCACTCACCCCATGCGCCTCGCCTGGCCACTGGGTTGCTTCTTTCCGCTTCTTTCTTCTTCTGCTTTTGGCTGCATGCAAGGAAAGCAGCAGAAATCTTTCTTTCTCTCCCCCAAACTCCATCAGAAATGAGTCTTTGGGACCCTGCAAGGCCTCCTGCTCCAAGGGGCTGCGCCGGTGTGACAAGTCTCACAAAGACTCCTTTCTGGCGGAGTTTGGGGGAGAGAAAGAAAGACTTCTGCGGCTTCTGCTGCTTTCCTTGCATGAAGCCAAAAGTCTCTCTCTCTCTCTCCCTGAGAACGGAGCTGGAGACGGTATCCTGCGATCCCAAATAAAGAACGATCGACCGGTAGGAAAAGTGGGTGGGGAATTTTCCTGCAGACTTTTCTGGGGATTTTCCCAGGGTCTCTGGTCTGCGGGATTTAACATTATGAATTTGGTGGTCCCTGGGGGTGTAAAAGGTTGGCGACCCCTGGACTAGCTGACCCTTCTGAGGTCCCTTCCGGCCCTAGGATTTTGTGCTTCTGTGTTCTTGCAAACCGTAATCCTAGTGTCCTGTTGCAAGGCATGCTGGGAGCTGTGCCTAGTGGATCAAACGCACCCAAACACACACACACACACACATACATACACAAGCTCCCCATTCGAAAGACAGCTCACTTAGTGGGAAGGGGG